CTACACATTCTAACATCCCCTTTAATTTTTTTGTTTTTAAATCTGGTTGGGACAAAGGACTAGTTAGCAAAAGAGACTTTCATTTCAGCCTTTCTTTTATTTTAGACTGACTGCAATATAGAGAGACCAGAAGCCTTTATAGTCTTCCTGTAGATTTTGCTTCTAGGCATCTAGTCTTGTAGCATTTCAGATCAGCTTTAATGAATGTAAAGATAAAACTTTCACAAAAAAAACTTTCACTGCAATTTGTCACGGTCACTCCTTAAATACTCTATTTTTTCTATAAAAAAAAAAAGAAAAATTAAAAAAAGACAACAATGCACATCTGGCAATGGAAAAAGTAAAAGTTCTAATTAGGTTGATTTGCTATTGTTAATGCCTTGTTTTAAGACTTTCACTAACTTTTTGTGTCTGAAGACCAAGGTGAAATCCTAGCTCTTCTGACCCCCAGTGGCAAATCTTTAAGTAGCTTTGTTCAGTAGGTACAGGATTTCACCCTTAGTGTATCTAGGAAATACTAGAAAGCCTTAACAGATAAGTAGATTCAAATTCTTAGGTTAATTCATACATGGATCCAGAATTTACCATAAGAATTAAATCAGAATGAATCCTAAATTATATAGCAAAGTAAAACCATTCTTTATTTCCCCAAGAGTGGCGTTAAATATTTCCAGATGCCTATCTTGTGCATAATAGGGGAGGAATTTTAAATTCTAGTAATATCAAATGAGTGAATGAATGAGTTGAATTTAGCTGCTTCATGCAAATAATTTGGAAATCTACTATGCCATAAAAATGGTGTGGAATTTGCACAGTCAACATAGAACATGGTTTCCAGAGTCAATGTTTGTGATGTTCGTGAAGTACTAGTTTCGTTGCACAGATTAAATTGTTGGTGAGTGGCATTCCAGTGTCTAGACTATCATGAAGCTAGACCAAGATTTTAATGTTGTCTTTCTCTGTGATTAAGTTCTCTTGTGATTCCCCCCCCTTTTTTTTTTCTGATTGGAATTCAGAATTTTTGCAGAAGCTTTCATTTTTGGTACTGCAGTAGTCTAGTTATTCTGCACTAAAGTAAGAGCCAGTAATTCCAGTGTTGCCAGTTCCTGTTGTCTTACTATAAATGTTGCATTGTTTGATTGTTTTATTAGGGCTTGGGCTCCTGAAGGTACACTTCTTTCTAGTACCCAGCTCAGCTGCAGAGTAAAATTGAAAATGTGACTCTGGTGTACCCCAAAAAATAAAACATAAGACATTGAAGTAGGATAGTTCAGGACACTGGAAAGTTTGGAACAGGGAATAGCAGCATTGCCCTAACCTAAGGTATACCTAAACAATCGTGTGGAAATTTTACACAGTATGATTTTCATATACCTGTGTAAATTGGACTATTTATATGATGTCAAGGGTGCAACTGCATGAGAAAAGTATTCTTTTGCTTCCACAAAGAAAAACCCCGCAGTGACTCTCATAGGTGGAGAGCTGCAAAGCTGGCAGGGGATGTATACTATCTGGATTGCTGTGTGTTCTTTAATTTCAATGTGGCTGAGAGAAACAATGCCTTTTCCTGCCTATGCCCCCCATTCCTCACCCTCCACCAAAACCCGGACCCCTTCACCTCCTTTCAGCTTTGATGTGAAATATACTTCAGATTATGAAATACTCTGAAAAATAGTAATAGGAGAACCTAACATTATATTGTAAGGACCAATAAGGAGTAAGAACAGATTCTTAATGTTGCAAAACATTTTGCAGCTTCCAAGGTTAAAACATTTTGGGGACAGTTATTTGCACATTTTAGACACTCTTGATCATATATGAAGAGTGTAGCAGAACAGGATAGTATACCTTGAGCAAATGGAAGTAATCTTAAGATTGATTACTTTAAGATTTTTGGTAACTGAGTCACACTGCATGTAAAATTAGGGCTGGTCTAAAATTCTTATGTTAATTTAACTAAAAACCATTAGGAGAAATTTTAGCTGAAACGTCTTAATCATCAAATGTGGATTTATGTAGCTCTAATACAAAGCTATATATAAAAATAGTTGGGTTTCTTTTTTTTTTTTTTTCAGTAAATGTGATCTGTAGCTACCGATCTAAATTAGTACAAAATCCATTTAGATTAACCCTTATTTACTTTTTTGGAAAAAAAAAAAGGAAGAAAAAAGAAAAAATACACATCCTTGCCACTGTTGTGCAGTTTTGTCTTAATATTTGTTGAGATTTGGTGAAGCATGTTGGATGCAGCTTGCACAAGTTGATCTCATAATTATTCTGTCTTTCCCTATTTGGAATGCTTTCAAAGAACATACCTGGATGCTATCTGTTCTGATAGTAACTACTAAATGAACATGTGAATCACTTACCACGTCAATATGTTAAATTGCCATGTGTCAGGGAGTAACGCCTTCTTATAGTAGCTTTATGTAACTCTGGTAAACAACTTTATCATTGGTTTTCTCAAAACTGAAATTTAATTATTTTGACCAGTCTCATTGCCCTAAAATTTTTGTTAACTTAAAAATAAGTTTAACTGTATAGATTTTGTAACAGTAACAGGATCTCCGTAATGGGTAAATACTGACATGCAATCTTCTGCTCTTGTCTATACTATGAAGCAATACAATTATTACCTTCAAAGACCATCAAACTGTAAACAAATCATTGTGTCTCAAGTTTACATAAAGCTACATAGATGGCAAATCTTTCCTAACATTTCTTTATTCCACTGTCTTGTGTTTTCACGTTGAAAATACTTCTGCTTTTTCCTCTTGAGTGCCAACTTCTTACTAGAATGACGACTTAATGTAATATGTTTACCTGGAATGTATTTTAACTATTTTTGTATAGTGTAAACTGAAACATGCACATTTTGTACATTGTGCTTTATTTGATGTGGAACATATGCAGTGTGATCCAGTTTTTCCATCATTTGGTTGCGTGACCTAGGAATGTTGGTCATACCAGACATTAAGTTAAAAAAAGAAAAAAAAAAAAAGACCACTGTTTGTTTTAAAATTTTTAATGTTTTTAGGAGTATGTGCTGTGAGGTGACCTGGAATTTGTCATTTTTTTGTCAAACTGTACTGCTCCTATTTATTGTAATGTAATAAAAAATAGTTATTGTGAGTTTCTGTCCCAGTTTCCTTTTCCTCTCCAAGAATTTCAGTGCCTCATCTCTGTAATGGAGTATCCCCTGAATTGCATGTGTGTCCTGATCACTGTTCTATCTCCAGTGTCATTTAGTTTGGGGGGGGGAGGCGGGCAGAAACACCAACCAACCCTAGTAGGTACAGAGTATCAGTTCTGGCACAAGTTTGTGCTAGTTGAGCGCAGTTCTACAGAATTAAGAGTCAGCCATGGAGCAAGCATCCACGGTCAAACTTCTCTTCCAGGGGAAAGCAACAAGTTCTATATTCCTGCTACAGCAGTTCCACAACATCAGAAACCAGCAGTAGCAGGAACTGTCTTCAGGGTCTAAGTGCTTAAACCACTGTTGTTCAAATTCCCCCCTTTCCTGACCCCATAGTCTTCTTTCTAACAGAGTAATGCAGCACCTCTGCCAGCGTGACTCTTGCATGTTAAGCAGATGTAGTTAAAATCTTTAAGAATTTACTTTTGAGAAGGTGCTCGTCTACCGTGGAAATGAATCATTAAATGTGGAAGACTTTCAAAATCAGATTAATCTTCTAAGTAACAAGAGAAGTGCAGTACCTTGAATCGGCATTCAAACACACAGCTATTGGGCAAGAAGAGCTATCTGTTCAATGTGCGTATCAACAGGAAACAGAACAGAATTATGTTACCACTACTTCCTTCATGTTTCGTACATGAACTTTCTAGTTCAAGGAGGTCAAAAGTAGTTGAGAAAAACATTGCCCCCACACTACAAAACCCAAATCCTTCAAGCAACTACTTAAAGGGAAGCAACTTTAGATGGGTTGGAAGGATTTACGTTTCGTGTCTTTTGAGGTTACAGCTCTTTTATTGTTTGTTTTTATGGATTTGTATCATTACATGCAAAGTCATTAGCACCAGTTACTGATTGTCGTCACTGTAGTAGCGCTGTTTCAGAGCTCTGTATTTCCTGAGAAAGTACAAAGCCTCCAACTCTTTTATAACAAATTCTCCTCGTGCAATTAGTTGCTTAATTTTTTCGGGATCTTTCACATCTTTATTTTTTAGAAAAGCTGCTTTCAAACGGCTTCTAAAGTAGTCTGCTCCTTTGGGATACTCCCTTCCAAGGTACAGCAGCTTGAAGAAAAAAAAAATTTTTTATAAATTTGGTGCACAGTGAAAGGGTTTTGTCTGGTTAAGGAAAGTGCTCGTGGCATTTAAGACACTTACATTTTTGTATAGATTCAACACTTCACCTCTTAAAGAATTGGCCATTCTCACATTTCAGTGAACTCTTTATTCCCGTCTGATTTTTTTTTTTTTTTTAACCTGAAGAATAATCAGTTTGACATTAGCGTTCCATGGGAGTGAGTCAACCCCAGCCTCATCCGCCACAGCAACTGCACAGTTTCTAACCAGACTCCTTTCCCTCACTGAGCCTGGTTTGCTCTAACTCTGTTATTTTCTGCTTCTACTCTGTCTCTTCTGCTCTCCGCCTCTCTTTCTCTTCCCTTCCACCTGTCATCGCAAATGGAAAACAAGAAACTTCCCCAAACCTTCAACTACTGTTACGCTCGTTTATCCTTGTGCTCTGGGTCAGCTGCTTGCCCTTCTCTGCCTGGCTGCTAGCCGGGCAGCTGCTTGATCTGTAGTCTGCTAAAGAAACATCTATATCTATATATACAGGTGTGTATGTATCTGTATAAAAACCTAGGAATTCCTGCAACTTTTGCGTTCATAAATTCGGCTTTTTAAAAATCCTTCAACTGCACTACGAGTTGAGACCAGTGCATACTGGCAAAACGTAACGTAAAAATAAATAAATTTAAAAAAAGCGTGAGCAAGGAAGTAAACCGATTTTGTAAATGAAAGCAGCTGGGATGGAGTCCAGCCGCGGGGGGCGGCGGGGCCGGGGCCCGGGCCCGTCCCCTCGGCCTGCCGCCTCCCCCTCCTTGGCCTGGGGGGGGGAGCCGGTGCCTGTCGCCCTGCCCTGTGCCTCCGGCGCCCGGTCTCACACGAACCCGCACCCCCCCCGCCTCGCCTCCCGCCCCGGCCGGGCCCGCGGGGCTGGGGGAGAGGGAGAAGGAGAAGGAGGTCAGGGTCTCACCAGCTCCGCGCCGTAAAGCTCGCCGGCGCCGCTTTACGGCAGCGCCGTAACGGGAGGCAC